TTTTTTTTTTGTTTCTCTGCGTCGGGTGTGCTGCGTTAACCATGAGGCCGATTATTATCGGCTAGGAGGGTTGCAGTATACTCGTAAACTAAACTAAACTAAACTAAACTAAACCAATTAGACAGCATAGTATCTTAAAAGGCATCATTGTTTATTTCAACAAAATTGGAGGTAAATTTAATAATCGTTAATGGTGAGCATTAAGTAATAGACACTAATTTCAGACAGAAAAGTTTCAAGTTTTTCAAGAAATTTCAGATCTAAAAGTCGTTCAGTAACAATAAATTATCAGAACTATAGAAGAAAAAAGGAAGCATCTGACCTGACTGTAAAATGTCTTAAGAGTGAGCTGCGAAAAAGCTAAAAGCTTCATCTGATGGTTAAATTTCCCACGTTACTTACAGAATTTTATCATTTTTTATTAACTAATTAGTTCCAATTATTAAAGAATTCCAGCCAATTATTCCAATTAATTTATAATCTTTCCAATAAACATCAGAGTCCACCAGCCATCGAGCGGTAACACTGGTAGTTTGGTCAGAGTTTCGAATTGCGGACAGGCTGGCTGCATGGGTGTTTTCGTGGTTTTCCCCCATGTGTAACGTGCATACGAGCCAGTTTCCCTTAGAAAGTTCCCCCATCAAGGCATCCCTCCTCTTAGGCAGATTGACCTTGAGACTTTGCCATTATCACATAAACCAAACCAAACCAACGAACATCAGACACAGCTAAGTCTTATGCTTCATCAACGTCTATACAGATTGCTGCTATCTGTACACTGTTGCACATAAATTATCCAAATGATTACAAAATGTGAGAATTATAAAAAGTTCTTTTAAACATTATGCTTTTCCTAGGATGCCTTGATTAACTATGGCAAAGTATTCAAGAGCTATTTGTTTAAGACAGAATATTATCGTACAAGAATTGCTAAGGAAAATTCGCTCAAATTTTTTATCTTTTAGAAATAAAAGCTATGAAAACCTTTTGAAACATGTTCTTTCTGACACCATTAAACAAATTTAAAAGTCATTATTCCAAAGTGGCCTTGCACTAGCACTTTTGTTTTCGTTTTGCGATTTTGCGTCGGAACCCTATTTCTATGTTGAACTGCGGTGCTTAACCACCAGGGTGCCTGGGCGCCATAGCCCTACCCCTCATCGAATAACATGATAAAAGTTTCGAATTATGAGAAATATAACTGAATGTGCTAAATAATTAAATGAGCAAGAGTTTAAATTCATAATTGCTAATAGTTAAATACAAATTTTTTTCCTTAAGTACCTAATTACTAATCCATACATAATTAACTATTTTTTTAACAACTATTTCACAGAAGAATACATGTACACACAAGAGAAACAAAATACGAAGTGCGACGCCTTAGTGCCACTAGTAAAAACAAAAAGCAATCAGGAGAAAAAAAGAACAATATACAATAAAGAATCTGAGCAACAATTTGCATAACACATAATACAAAATTACTTACATTACTAACATTTAGGATCGCCCTTGGGCGTTTACTGAAATTGGGGTCCCTAGTATCATAACAATAGTTAACAACCACAGGATTGTCCAGAAGTTCCTGTTTATCATAAAATGCCCTAGATAGGCGGCAATAAAAAATCACAAAGATCCTCTATTCTTAACTCTTTACGAATTTGGCTATTCCGAATGTACCAGGGGGCATTACATATCATACGCAATACCCCGTTTTGGGCAGCTTGTAACTGCCTTCTCAAACTTTTGCACGAGTATGCCCAGACGGGGGCATGCATAACTAAGAATTGGACGCAACATGGTTTTGTAAATGAGCAACTTATTATCAATAGATAGAACACTGTTTCGAGCAATTAAGGGAAGAGTGAAGCTTTACTAGCTCGAAACTTCCTGAGAATATGTGTAACGTGTGGGTTCCATGTAAGAGATTTACTGAGGATCACCCAAGATAAGGGACCTGCTTGACCCAGGGAATGTCCACACCATACATTTGCAGGTGAGTCGGGAAATTCTTCTAGTAGTAGTAAACAGTATGGCATGTGTCTTGTCGACATTCACTTTGACTTTCCATTTGGTCAGCCAAGTCTCTAGCGAGTGGATGTGGTGTTTGTAGCTGTTGTATTGCTGAACTAACAAATGCACTTTGCGTTAAGGATCGCTGTGTCGTCTGCATACATGGCTAGTGTTGTGTTGTGTGTAGTGGGGATGTCGTTCACGTAAATATTGAATAGGGTAGGGCCCAGAAGGGATCCCTGTGGAACACCAGCCCGTATAAGGCCGGTTTGTGGATAATGAACCAGAAACATGAACGACAAAGTGTCTACCGGTTAGGTAGGATTTAATTATGTTTGTGATGTAGCCTGGGAGTCCCAGGTTGTGTAATTTGTATATGAGGGCATCCAGCCATACTCTATCGAAGGCTTTGGCGACATCTAAGAAAAGTCCACCAGTGACACGATGTTGTTGCATCCCACTGCTTATTAACTCAACAACTCTGTAGAGTTGATGCGTTGTCGAGTGCTTACGCCTGAACCCAAACTGATAGGGTATGAGGATCTTCTGCTCATCCAGGAAGATGTTTAGTCTATGTAGAATAACTGCTTCCACGATTTTGCTAATTGAGCTTAGCAACTGATTGGTCGGTAACTCTCAGGAGCAGTCGCAGGCCTTGTTGGGCTTTAGCAGAGGGACAATCTTGGCAGTTTTCCAACAAGTTGGGAAGTATTGCCATCGTAGTATGATATTCACTAACTTGGTGAAGTAGAGTATTATCTTGACAGGGAAGTGCTTGATCATCTCATTTGTGACCCCGTCTACTCCAGGGCTCTTCCTTTTCGCAATTCGCATGATATAGAGACAGACCTCCGATGGCATGGCTGAGATAAGTTTGTCTGGGATTAAATTGAATATGTTTTTCTTGGAGTGGATAGCAAAACTTTTCTGAGTATGAAATTTGTTAATGCAGAAGATATATTGAGATTTGCGTGTGATACATTGAAGTTAAAATAAAAAGTTTTAATAACGATCCGTTTGAAGAATATGGAAAATTTAGCATTAAAACTTCTACAACGGCTTTAGCGGTGAAGGTAAAGTACTGAAACTGGTAGTTAGGTAAGTTAGTCCGCGAACGGGCTGTGATGGGTGTTTCGTGATTTCCGGTTGTATAGTGTAGAGTATCTTCTGGATGCATACGTGAATAAAGGGGCGCAGCCGATCAAACAGGTGAACTGGTAGTTGGTCCAACTTGAACCGGCGAACGGGAGGCGCATGATATTTTCGTGATTTTCGCTGGTACGTGTAGCAGTATCTGATGACATATGTTAAGAAGCGGGCGCGCCCGTTAAATCGATGACACGGTAGGCGGTCAACTTTGGAATCCCGCTGAACGGGACTCCTCCATGATTTTTCGGATTACTCATGTGTATGTGTAGCGGTTTCCGTATGCAAAGCGAATAAAGCGGCGACCGCCCAAAACCGCTGAACACTGCAGTTTGTCAATTTCGATCCAGACGAACAGGCCGGCACAGGGTGTTCACGTGATTTACGCATGTGTAATGTGTATGCATACCTTATGGATTCATTTATGAATAAGGCAGACGAGCCCGCGCAAAAACCGTGGAACACTGGTAGTTTGGTAAACTTTCGAATACGCGAATGGGCTGCCTGTGTGAATGTTTTCGTGATTTCGGATGTGTACGTTTATGAAGATCTTGTGGATGCATTCGTGAAAAAGCGGTTGGAGAACATTGGTAGTTCGGACGAATTTCGAATCCAATCGTACGGGCTGGCTCCATGAGTTTTTTTGATTTTCCGATGTGTATCGAGTAAGCAGTATCTTCTGAATGCATATGGACCAAAGCGGGCGCAGCCGCGAAAAACCGCTGAACACTCATAGTTCGGTCCAACTTCGAATTCCGGCGAGCGGGCTGGCTGCATGAGTGTTTTCGTGATTCCGCATGTGTCTCGTGTATGCAGTGTCTTCAGGATGCATATGTGAATAAAGCGGCGCAGCAAGCGTAAAACGATGAACATGGTATTTGATCAACTTCGACCCCGGGGAACGGGTGGGCTGAATGGTGTTTACGTAATTTTCCGCATGTGTAGGTGTATGAGTACCGTATGGATGCATACGGGAATAAACGGTTAAATTGCCGGAAACTGTAGTGGTTCAACTATCGAGTAGGCGAATTTGAACATGGAATTCTTTTTAAAACGAACTATGATAAGCGGGCTTCAGCCCGCTAGTTATATATTATTATTTGCCGATATATTGGCCGGGCCGCAAAAATATTTGTTGTGAGCCGCATGCGGCCCGCAGGCCGCGAGTTTGACATCCTTGTTCTAAAGATAAGCTCATTTTAAAATTTTGCGACATTGCTGTTGAACTGAATTTTATGGTTTAAGCGCAAAGAACATGATATTTAATAAATAAAGGTAACACACAAAACGTTAGAAAAACGCCCCTTTGGACGTTATTTAAAACTGAAACCTTTCAAATTTTCTTTTACTTTTTTTAGTCCAAAGGGGCTTTGTTCCTGAAGGAGTATTGTTTTCGTTTTGCGATTTTGCGTTGAATCACCATAAACGGCGAATCACTTTTCAAAGTGTTGCCACCAAATGTTAGAGTCCTGCATTATATTTGAAGAAATTAAATAATGAAAACTCTGCATTAAATGTATGTGTAATTTCTCGCATTGTGATAAAACAACGGTACATAGAGCCATCAATTTTTTTACGTATTAACGCAACCACCTTGCTGCAGTTTGACGATTTTTAACAAGTACAAAAAGTGATTCGGTAATTTTCGGATTGCAAGTTACTGCAGATATAGTTACTTAACTGTTATGCTCATGGTTGCCAGAGTTTGGCAACTTCTGTTAAGGTGTCTGCGATAATACGCAAGTACCGATTTTCATTTCATTTGATCCATTTTCTGAAATTTTAATGATTACAACATTTATTTAGCTCGTTTATAGCTTAATTAAAATTTTTCCTTTCAGTTCTGTATCTTCACGTGATTTGATACCATGTCATGGATGCAAGTACGTTTATTACTGTAGCAAAACGTGTAAGGTAAGTGGAAAACTTTCAGATTTTATATCATATTCTCTTCACAGAGTGCAAATTTCTAAATAATATGATACGTATACAATGCACCTTACAAGTATAGCGTGTGTTTATTATATTTTAAAATATTAAAGAAAAATATATTCGAAAATTTCCGATAATTTAAAGAATTAACATCAGTTTATTGAAAATTAAACAGAAAATAGAATAAAATACAAAAGGACAAAACAAGACTATTTATAATTCCGATTTTTACATTTATCCGTAAACGGTATTTTTCCGTTTTGCCGGCGCAAATCTCGCCAAGCAGACTTTGCTGGCGACAACATACAGTACACACATAATAAAAATGTTAACAAACATTAGTTTTAAGAATTTTTTATTTTGAAGGCATAAACATTTTTAATACGTTTTAAAATTTTGTAAACAGCCAATAAATAAAGACAATAAATTTGTAAAAAGACATTAATTTAAGAATTTACTATGCTTTCATGGTTCCACATCCTGATTCGCCGATTCGTATCACGTGACCCCAAGGGATCTCATATCACGTAAACTACGCTACAAAAAATCTAATTCTCTTAGTAATTATCTACATTAATTTCAATTTTAAATTTTAATTTTGAATACAAGTTTAAATGCAAGAATTGTTTCAATTCGTACGAATAGCTTACTCAGAAATTATGTAAAACCGCAGTGCTTTACTTCGCTAGTGCATTCTCATTAGAATTGATGAATTTAACCCTTTATTTTGCCTTTTCTCTAATTTCGCCTTCGGGTGAGCGGTGTGATTGCTCTCTAATTGACTTAATTATCGGGAATGGCCTTAGGGCATAAAATTTAACTCTCTTGCAAAAATTCTATGTAATTGTATGCCAGTATTGAAAGAAACAATCAATATGATAAGAAATAGCTGCGACTTATTTTGAAAATGAGTCTTAAAAGGTTACCAGCGAAGATATTCTGTTTGGCATCAGTTGTACCATTGTTGGCGACTTTATCGTTTGCGCCGGCAAAACGAAAAAGTACCCAGTAAACTTAGCAGTTGATTATAAATTTACAATTATAAGAATTGTTGTTCAAAACGCTGTAGATAATATGAAGTAAAAACTATGGAAAATTTTCTTTCGTTTAAATGTAGCACCTATTCTGTTAAGGGTAATTTTTAATGTAAGTAGAACATTCGTATCTACTAGCAGTGTATTCCATTAAGCAGTAAAACTACAGAAAACCAACCGAAATAAGATCTCGGAATGTAGTGTTATAATGACGCAGCATTCATAAATATGACAAAGTTTAAGTTTTACAGTATAAGCTTTGCAGTATTGCTGTACTTAAGCTTTGCTTTACGTAAATTTACTCTTAACCCTTTCCGGCACGTAACCTTTTTTAAAGTCGGAGTTTTGATAAAAAAAAAAAAAAAAAAGGTAGGCAGTCTAATTAGGCCTGAGGAGAACAAGTAAATTTGTGAGATAGCACTTATCTTTTTAATTCTGTGGGGTGGCCAAAGTGGCACATTAATTGAATAGAGCTTCGAAAAGAGTGCTGAAACGAGCATTGTTGTCAATGAACTGACCGATGAGATGCGGAGAAACAAAGAATACAGACTCTCAGTTGTCCTAGATTGTCGGTGAGCTCGGTCTGGGCATACCTAGGGTTCACCTTTGATTTTAGGCAAGATTTCAAGGTAACAATTCAAAGCTAATATAGAATAAGCATATTAGCATACAGCCAAAAAATAAAAATTTCTTTTTAAACAATTCCTTTTATAACTTAAAAAAAATCTGGAAGATTTCTTTGAAAAATGAGGGTCTTAAAAAAACTAAACATGGCTAAAATATATGGACTGGATTCTGCTGAGCTGCCATCTATTATAAATAAAGAAGGTTCAGAGTAACCTATAGTAACGTATAAATCCTTTTTCATTCAATTTTTCTGTACGCACAGAAGGAAATTTTTAGGTGTGTCCAGACCGGACACACTGTGCCGCTAAGTGTTAAGAGTTAATTTACATACAGTGATACATTCGGCGTTTGAAATGTAATTCCTGTTGCGCGAGTTAAGAAATTTTGATAATTAGTACAATAACCAGAGAACAGTAGTGCAATGAAAATAATTTTATGCTCTTTACAGGAACATAAGGGAAACTAGCTTCGAAAATTTTCGTATTATATCAGTTTTCACTCTGCCAGATATCTTTATTTCCGTATATTATGTAGGAAAATGGGCTTATTATGGTGGATTTTTATGGAGTTATCTGTTAGTATGTTATTAAAAAGGTGCTAGAAATACTCATTAATCTTAAGTGATGCTCAGAAAAATTGTGGGCAGTTGTAGTTTCGATATTCATGAGATGTTCCACATTTAGCAAACTTTCGTCGCATGTCTATGAATATTTACCTCCTCGTATATATTCCTATTTTGGTACTTACGTATTATCGCAACCAGGCCAAAATTTGCATAAATTGCCAAATTTGGCGACCCTACTTACGGCAACCCTACGTGTTATACGTAGTTTTGTAAAAAGAGCATGTGAAGATTCACAAATTTCCTGCATTTCGTGAAATTTTTGTAATTATGAGAAAAATAGCAGTGTACATGGATAAAGTCAAGAATGTGCGCAATGCCATTTTTGTGCAATTCGGGATGTTTTTTTTTAAGTAAAAATAAGTCGACGTGTACATGGTTATGGCGAATACGGTTTTTCAATCAGTGCTAAAGCAAGCCAAAATTTCCGCCGAAAAAATAATTCTGCAACTTATTGAAATTCGAAACCGGAAGGGTTTAATTGATATTTATTTTAAAACAAATAATATAAAAAACGGTATTAAAAATTATCTGTAATTAATAAATGTACATTTTCTTTCTATTCATATTTTTTTACTCAAACTTAAAAATAGCGCCAACCTGGTTGCGATAATACGTGACTACCCTTATGGTTACTTGGTTTCTTTTGCAGTATTTTTTCTACAGTTTCCTCATCTTTTATTTTCATTTGCTGTGCACTTATTTCTGCAGATATGCATACATCAAGAGCTTTTCCTATTTCTGCTTTATGCAATAATCTTGCTCTTACTACATCGTCTTTAATACCACAAACATTTCCGTCATTTATCAGACCATCCGTAAAATTGTGCAAATCGCATGTTCTAGCTTTATTTTGACGGTCAATTATATACTTATTCTATGATTTCGAAAGCGGTTTATTTCTAGTAAAGAATAAATGTCTTTAATATGTAATATTTTTCTTAGGTAAAAAATATTCAGTAAATTTTGTCTTAATTTTATTTAACATCTTTTTACCTTCTTTTACAGGAAGTGTATTATACATTTCAAGACAGGAAATGTGTTTTAGACTTCAAGAAAAGTGTTATATATTTCGAACTGCATATAGAATATTAAAAAAATATGTCGACTTTGCGAATAATAATAAGAAAGATTAAAAGGAGCTTTTATTATGTTAAAAATTCGATATTTACTTTTTAGCCGAACCATCTCAATGGAAATAGCCTAATTTTCAGACTGTGACAAAATTTGCGAACTGCGCGCTTCAAAACATTTCAGTTTCAACAAGCAACATTGCTATTTTTATATGCTTTCTCTTTGTTGTATTCTAGATTCCAGCTTTTTTTACATGCAAATGGTGATGTTTTTTGATATCATACATATAATTCAGAAGTCAAACGACAAAAATCAGCGTTATATTTACAAAATTTTCACAGGACTAGTTTCAATGGTTTTACCGAACCACCATCTTCAGCTGCAAAACCGCAAATGAACAAGATAGGAAATAATGATTAGATAAGATAGAAAGCTGGACAAGAAAGCAGTGGCGCCATCTGTTGAAACCAGAACTAAAACATAATTTCTTTAAAGGCCGAAGGCAAATTTGCTTGGAATTAGGATCATTAACTAAAAAAAGTTAAAAAACATTTCTCCTAGTAATTTACTCATGGTTTCTTTTGATGTAAAATCATTATTCACCAATGTCCCAGTGGAGGGTGCATTAAGAGTCTAGAAACCAGACTTCGCGAATTTCATTTCTCTTGCATCGAAATTGATGAGCTAATTTCTCTCACTCAACTCTGTTTGAAACAAAACACATTTTGTTTTCCAAAATAAATATTACAAGCAAACTGAGGGATTAGCCATGGGAAGCCCCCTCATCCCATCCTAGGCTGATATCTACATGCATTATTATGAATCAAAATTGTTTGAAACATTTAAACTTCCCGGCATGGTTCCGCTACTTAGACGATACTTTTAGTCTGTTTTGAAGGTAATAAGATGATTTAAATAAAGTTCTTTCAACAATGAATTCTATTGATCCTGCTATTCAGTTCACTTTTGAACTTGAGACTTGCAATTCTCTTCCGTTTCTCGACATTCTGGTCACACGTAACACATCCAACTTCAGTACTACGGTTTACCGTAAACCTTCATCGGTTTGCCTTCCACCACACTTTAAATCATGTCATCCGACTAAACAAAAGTTAGCTTCATTTTATTCCTATGTTTTCCGTGCTCTTCAAGTTTGCTCCTCCAAAAACTAGCCCTTGATGAAGAACTAAATTATTTAAAAGCAATAGCTATTGACAGGGCTTTTCCACCCAACATTATTAATCAAGCAGTTAAAAATTCTCATCTCAACACACTAAAAGGCACACTCTTGTTTTAGGAGATTATAAAAATTCTGTTGTCATTCCCTTTTTTCCATCAATTAGCTATAAAGTTGCACATATTTTGCAGAAATTTAACTTTCGGGTTGTTTATTCTCCCATCAATAAAATTCCGAGTTCCATACTCAAGGACTCCCATTCCGGATATGAATTCCTGGGGTATTTATAGGATTCCTTGCAGTGTGGTTTTAATTTACATTGGCCAAACTAAGAGAGCCTTAAAATTTCGCGTCAAGGAACATGAGGCATATGTTAGAAAAAAGGAAACACAGAAGTCTTCTGTTGCTCAACATTGTTGGTCCGAAAATCCACACTTTCAATTTTCTG